TATATATATATATATATAGAGAGAGAGAGAGAGAGAGAAAGGAAGAACCAAGGTGATGACATGGCACAATGAGAATCAAGTATTTATCAAATGATGAATTGTGGTGAATTATTGATTGTTCCACATTGGAAACAAAAGTGAAAAGTTRGARCTACAAGTGACTATATAAAAGATAAAATATAGYTTGAATGTATATCCAAATTTTGATCAAATTTTGGGTTAAATAGTTATTTTTTATTTAATTACAAAATATTTCATGTAATAGTTAAATATTTCATTTTTAAAACTTTAAGATGATGACATGTCACAATGAGAATCAAATGTTTATCAAATGATGAATTGTGGTGAATTATTGATTGTCCGGCATTGCTAACAAAAGTGAAAAACAGGAATCATCCAAGGTTGATGACGTGACACAATGAGAATGAAATATTTATCAAATGGTGAATTGTGGTGAATTCTTGATTGTCCCACACATTGAAAACAAAAGTGAAAAATTGGAAATACAAGTGACTATATAAAGGATAAGATATAGCTTGAATGCATATCCAAATTTTGATTTATCAAATGATGAATTGTGGTGAATTCTTGATTGTCTCACATTGGAAATAACAGTGAAAAGTTAGAAGCACAACTGACTATATAAAGGATAAGATATARCTTGAATGTATATCCAAATTTTGATCAAATTTTGGGTTATATAGTTATTTTTTATTTACATTACAAAATATTTCATGTAATAGTTAAATATTTCATTTCTAAAACTTTAAGATGATGACATGGCATAATCAKAATCAAGTATTTATCAAATGATGAATTGTGGTGAATTTTTGATTGTCCCACGTTGATAACAAAAGTGAAAAACTTGAATCATCCAAGGTTGATGACATGGCACAATGAGAATGAAGTAATTATCAAATGRTGAATTGTAGTGAATTCTTGATTATCCCACGTTGCAAACAAAAGTGAAAAGTTGGAAGTACAAATAACCATATAAAAGATAAAATATAGCTTGAATGCATATCCAATTTTTGATCAAWTTTTGGGTTCAATAGTTATCTTTTATTTACATTACAAAATATTTCATGTAAAAGTTAAATATTTAATATAATAATTAAATATTTCATTTTTAAAACTTTAAGATGATGACATAACACAATAAGAATCAAATATTTATTAAATGGTGAATTGTGGTGAATTATTGATTATCCCACATTGATAACAAAAATGAAAAGTTGAACTCAATATATCAATCATCAATACATATATAAAAGAAAACTTTAAGATGATGACATGCACAATGRGAATCAAGTGTTTATCAAATGGTGAATTATRGTGAATTCTTGATTGTCTCACATTGATAACAAAAATAAAAAACCTTAAGATTATAACATGACACAATGAGAATCAAATATTTATCAAATGCGTACAAATATCTTTTGGGCTTTATTTAAATTACTTGTTTTATATGTGTTAAAACACTACATTTTAGGTTGATTTTTTTTTTCTAATATTCTTGAGAGTTTTTTTTTTCTTCTTAAGTCGGGATTTTTATGAGTTATTTTTTGGTTGCGCAAGTATTCATTATTCAATTTATTATTAATCCAAACAGCCCTACAGATTCTTTTTACAACAAAGCAAGAAAACGAAAAGTTAAAATTCAATTTCTACAATTCCTTAGGATTGACTCTTCGTCTATTTTAAGCTTTCCAATATGGTACCTTTTGYTTCTTTCAATTAATTTTTTTACATCAATGCAAGTTGAAATATATGAAAGAGACATATCCTTATATGGAGTAATTTTTATTCTTGAGTTGTGTCAAATTCCTTATTATTCCGGTCGTTATTATTACTCGTTTTATTTAATTTTACAACTTTATTTCTAATATATATATATATATATATATATATTAAAATTTCACTAATTAGATTTTATTAACATTTTTAAATTATTTAAATACTATTTGTTGATGATTCTGTTAACAACTAATATATATCTGTATAGACAATCTTTAGATCATTAATCAAAATACTCATGCTACCGTGCAACGTACAGTTCCCACGCTAGTAAAGTATAATATGAATTGATGCTCACATCATTTCTATTAGGCATCAAATCTTCAATCAAATACCAAATTTAGTACCAAATMACTCAATGCAGACATCAAAACTCAAATCAAATTTAGTGTAATGAATAATAACACATTAAATTTAATATAACATTATTCATTTACACCAATTGGATAAGATAAAAAAGAATATACTAAGAATCTTCCATTTTAATGCAAGGTTTGGAGTTTACCTGCTGAGAAGGTTTAATATTTGCGCCAAATTTTATACTGATTTTTATGGATTTCATGTTATCAATTGGATATGGCCTTRAAACCCCACATGGCAATTACCTTATATTCATATGAACTTTGAAATAGAAGTASATTATTATAACCCATTGATTATGGTCCATACAAGTTGGGGTTTATGCAACTTCATTTTGGCTCAATTCACCTTCCAAAATCATCTATTTTGATCTTCACAAATATTTGACAAATCTAATGCTTCATTACATTTTATATCTTGTTTACGGGAATATATAGAAGTACAATGAAAACCGAAATGAAAAAGTTCTAAGTTACCTGTCATTGGGGATGCGACTGCTAGACCGTCTTAACTCCCAGGGTGGTAAGCACCCCTTTAATGGAGACTGCAGAAGTAACGACGATGTTGATAATTGTCTCTGCCTTGACGAGATTGATGATAAACAACTAAAACTATTACTTCGTAGTTTTCGTTTCTCGTTTACGTTATGAGGATTGTGTTCCACGGCAGGAACTCGAAGAGCATCTGGTAAGACACTGCTGAAAACCGAACCTGCAATGGTAATATCAGTCAACARCTCTACATCCAGCAGCTTATATGTGAGATATACAGAGAAGGGTAAATTGCGTCAAAATTAAACAAAATTTGGTTTTATTTCTTATTTAGTGTAACAAAAAAAATTATTCTCAGTCGATGTAACAAAGTTTCAAAAAATTTACATTTTATATCCATTCTGACTAATAACCTACTGATGTTATAACATTTGATAACGTCGATACCCGTTTAAGAAAGTTCTATGAAATGTTTACAAAAGGGTTAATATCATCAAATGCTACAAGATCAAAAGATTACCGGTCAAAATAGGTAAAAGAAATAGAAAATCTTGATACTCTGTTATATTCCTTCCGTCCCAAAATAAGTGTCCACTTTTCTATTTTAGTTTATCCCAAATTAAATGTGCACCTTCAAAAGTAGATGTCTACTTTYCAATTCTTTCCTTAATCTACTCTCKTGTCACTAAAGGTAAAATAGTCATATAACTAATCAAAAAGTATAATGATTGCACAACCCTGAAATCCTTTGCCTTTTTCATCGTGGCGTGGACATCTATTTTGGAATGGAAGGAGTATTRGATAGGAAAATTTTGAAACTTTATTATATTGATTGAGAAGAAAAAAAACACTAAACGGGAACTAAAGCAAATGTTGTTGCATTTTTCCCTTGAGAGAACGACCTAGTGATGAGAAAATATTAATATTACCTAGTTTAGCAAGCCGGTTAACCCATTTTGGGATCGGCTTTCCGGTTAACTTGTAACAGATATCGTTGCAGAAATGATTGCAGTTCTTGACGATCAGGTGATATGAATCCCCATTGTAGTTTGCCGCATGATGCTCCATGAACTCTCTGACCTGGGCCGGATCCAGACATGTAGTCCCGATTAATATTGATCTCCTAAATTTGAAGCCTGGGCATTGCCGAGGTTCAACCTCAAAGACACCGCTTGTGGGATAATCATGAGCTCCAAATGCATATTCTACACCATGAACTGTTAAGTGCAAACATAATACATCAGAAAACTATTATGTTGACCATTCACTTTCAATTCAGCAATGATATATTGTTCTTTCTAAAGGGGAACAACTCACATTCTGATTTTGAGTGGGATACACTAGGTTTGTTTGGTTTGGTACGGTTCAGGAAAAATTCACACACAATCTCTAATTCGAACTCACAATCTAAGGCTGTGAATTTGGTAGCAAACGGGACTGGACTGAATTCGTGAGAGTGAGGTAGGCCAGTGAAAGAGCTGATGAAAGAATTAGGGTATTGAACTGACATGGGTATGTTAGTAATTTACCAATCTTGTCTGATCTCCCTGATTTTTGTTCCMCCTATTTTGGTAAAAATGCATTTTTGTTCCACTTAATCCTGATGATGGGCTCAGTCATAGTCATGTTGCAAAAAGCACTGGTGGTTCATTTTGAATGTACGGATGTAAGGATATTTTGGACTTTTGGTAATTGATTGCCTTTTGTTAATTGATGATAGGCTCAAACTCTGCAAGTATATCTGGCTCTAGGGAGCAACTTCTTTCCTAAAAGAATTCAACTTAGAGAAAAAAATATGGAAGATCAATGAAAAAACAGTTGGATAATTCAGAATGCCGTCCACCTATGAGGCTATGATAAAAGGTAAAACGAAAACGACCGCTTTCCTAGATGATAAATGGGCAACATTGGTTTCAAAATGGGATCACCAGAAAAGCATCCATACAAACTCTACACAACAGTAAGGGGCTGTTTTGCTGGWWTTCCTCTACACARTAGTAAGGGGCTGTTTTGCTGGTTTTCCATCTAACTGTGTGGATTAATCTGTATAAATTGGGAAGGTTTTTATTTGGGAGGGTACTTTCATAGATGGAAGGAACGTGTTTTCAATTGGAAGGCAGCTTTGCATTAAACTTGGCTTTCTGCATAAAGCTCCCTCTTAGAARCTTACTAAATAAGYCACTTTCCATATCATTAAGCCACTACCAAAAAATCGTGTASAGCTGACCGAATAAGCTGCGAGTCTCATTAAGCTCATTACGCTGCAAACAAACAGGCCCTAAGGGTGGTTTGGCTGTTTTTCTATTAAGGCCTATATGGATTAAGCTATCTGTATGAAATAAGCTAAAAAACTTGGAAGGGAGTCCCAGGCTGTGCCTGGACTAATCCCGGCAAAYTGTGACGGTAAGAAATCAGCCCTGATAAACTCATCGGCCACAATTGTTATCTGTTTATTGTGTTGAACAAATGGTATGAATAATTTAAATAAATTTATGAAGCAACRTTACCTTCCACACCAGAATGAAAGATACCAAAGCCAGCCCAGTAAGCATAACCATTCAAAGGTGTCAAATCGTACACATTGAGATAAACCGGTGTGTTGCCTGGCCCATAGTCCGCCTTCACTTTTGGAAATAAACAAAAACGAGGTGCTGATTTTCCTTTCAAACGAAGGGACACAATAGACTTCAGTCCCTTCTTTGTKACAAATTTCATGGTGCTTGTAGTGGTCTACCAAGAAGTCAATCAGCACCTGTTGCCATCCTACACATGTATATAATTTCATGTTGTAAGATTCCCGTCAAGAAATAACAAATATGGCCACAGAAAACCGAATCAAGACAAAATAAAACTTAGTTTGGCTTTCACTTTCGGAAATAGAAGTACTTATTAGATAAATGGATAAAATTTATGTCCGGAACTAGAACTCCATTCAAATTTTGTGAATGATATCCAAATGCAGGAATGTTGACTTTCAAATTTCCACCAAAAGATCTTCAATCAGTTGAAGGTCTGACCGATAAAAATTATGTCAAGACAGCTACTTAAAATTATTGAAGATTCAGCAACTACCACATTTCCTGAACAATCAAAAGTATATAATAGTTCATAAACTCCTTGAGTTGACTTTGACATCTTGATGGCATGTTAATTGCATAAGAAGCTTCCCCACCACAAACATTTGAAATGGATTCAGTACATAAATAATACCATAGGAATCATATTTTAGAAYAGGTTAAAGGCCATGAGTGGGAGCCCATGAACTCAACCAAATATCTAGAGAGAATAAATCAAGATTCCATTACTATATACTTAGTTAAGAGCCTTCCACGTGCAGCTCAGTTGGCGGGGGGGCGACTTTGCMCAAATAATGCCCCCTCACATTGGTGTYCTTGGAGGCGGGTTCCATGTGGGGATTGCCGGTAATCAACTTTTTGCCCAAATTTGCCATTTTTAACATCTCAACACAATATTCAAACAAAGATGGTAAATTGTTGTCTTTCCAATACGCACTTAGGTCATGGCATGTATCAAGTTTTGAATATCTTAAAAGTTAAGGTTCTTAACACCCAGAGTTCACTAAGGTTACCCTGAGGAATCCGTATATATTCATATGACAAAAGGCAACAAAGAAGATAAAGAAAGTCTATATGAACAGGCGAACAGCTACTCACTTGGACTATTGATCTATATTTTTTCCAGTCCATCCTTACAATGGCATTGAAGTCGCAAAGCTCTTACTATTATCACAATTTTTTTTTTCCAGAGTGCATTTAGCAACACTTGTGCAAGACAACCTCCTTACTACCCAAAATATCATGAACGGAGAAATGTTAACCTAATYAATAACAGAGTTGCTCAATCACAGGCTTCTAAAAGCAGCAGAGWCTAGACCTGGCACCAGAAAAAAAGAGAAAGAACACATGGATGACGAGTTGACGACTAACAACTGTGATAGGACCAGGTTGATTGACTTGATTCTGTTTCACTTTGCATTTCTGTGTGATTTTTTCTAGTTCACGTGCAACTCGCACCAAGATCTGACATAATTTTGTAAACCTAACCTGAACAAATTTAAATGCAGCAAGTTTAGGTTCTCCAATGTTGAACCCACCACAGTTGTTGAAATTATAGCCTAAAAAGAATTTGGGAGTAAATTTTGTCSAATTGAAGGGAAATTGGCTTACTGGTAGCAATCAAGTATCTACCACCTGTAGGTAGTGAGTTTAAGCCCTTTTTTCAACAGCTAAGTGTGTGAGTCAGTTGCTTTTCGAAAGAAAAAAAAAAAGGAAAGCAGGAACATATAAAAKRATACATTTGGTACAAGTCAAAGAAWAATGAGAAGAAACCCCCACACACACGATGTTCGTAAATGCCAAAAAGGAAAACAGGCCACATGCGCCCTTTAAATCTACTAACATAGAACCTTTAATGAGCATACTGTGACGATAATCATCAAGTTGCAAGTAAATATCCGCCAGAAATCATCTCAAAMTGATTTCGATTCGACAAAATTCACTCCCGAATTCGTTTTGAGGCTATCATTTCAACAGTTATAGTAGATTCACTATAAGAGAACATAAATTTGCTGCATTTAGATTTGTTCGAATTAGATTTACAAAATCTGGTCAAATTATGTCAGATCTTGGTGCCAATTGCACGTGAACAAAAAGAAATCACACAAAAACGCAAAGTGAAACAGAATCAACCGAGCATTCACTATAATATAACAGATCAGACGGATGAAACCAACAACGAACATTAGAAAGTAACAGAAAGAAAAAGTAGCAGCAGTATCAATTTACAAACCAAGAAACCCAAACTTGTAATTTAGAGAAGAATCAGAAGCAACATAGTGGAATTAGAACCTCCAACTTACAGAATAGAAGAATAACGCCATTGGAAAAATTGAAGAATAACGCCATTTACGAATAAAATAAGCAAGTTTCTGTGAAGATTGTTCAGGTTGAAGTCTGCAAATTTGCACACTCGTGTGTGTGTGAGAAGGAGAGAGAGAGCCAGAGAGGGGGTAAGAGCATAAAGTGGTAGCAGGACAGCCTAACCCTCTCTCGCTCACTCTCCTACTCTCTTTCACCTTGATCAACCATATATACTATAACCACACAACCGCCGAGTTGCGGCCAAAACGCACCTCTTCCATGTTTTTATTAAATGGTGAATCTTGTTTTTGATAAAATAAAAGTATGTCCTCTTAATAATTTTAAAACTTTTTAAATGATTTTGTATCATGCGTCTTCTTTAATTATTTAGATTCCTAATTTCATAGTAAATAATAATCAAACAATTATATTTCATTTTACACTATATCATAAGAGCAACTTAATCATTCCGACCATTTAATCATTTTGCACAAAACCATTAAGCAACTATCAAACAGCCCTTAATAAAAATTTGGCATTTTTAAGGATTAGATTCATCTCTAAATCTTTTTTTTTTTTGAATTTTTAAAAATATTATTATTTTGGCAAGTGACGTTTCCAACACTTACAGAGGAGTTAAAAGACAAAAAAAAATTATTTTCACCCACTTGCAGAGATGTCACTTGCAGATCTAGGTGAAAAGTGAATTTCTATTCTTGTCTTTCAAACACCTTTGCTCGTGATATTTTGAAAATGTTCAATGAAAAATGACWAAGAGATGAATTTGGTTGCTGAAAATGGCTATTTCCTTCGATTKCTCTTTAAATCACTGGGGGTCAGATTAAAAGAAAAAAATGTATTTTTTTTAATAAAATTCATTTCGTTAATAAGTTAGTGGTTGATTGATAAATTAGTTGTTTGATAAAAAATAGTTAATGAGGTGTATTATTATTTAGAATTATCTAAAATAATAAGGTGACGTCTGGTTTATTGGAATATGACATGATTAGAAGGAATTGGAATTGGAATGGTTAATTTCACAGCCAAATTACATCCATGTGTTTTGATTCATTATTTGAGTTTAATTAAAGAATTTGAATTCTAATATGTTGGAATGTATATTTCTTGGATGCTAGCAAAGAAAAACTATTATACTTTTATATTTACTCTTTCTTTACATCCTACCATGATGGTTGTCGCCACAATCATCATCACCATCGTCGTCACCACTGCCATCCCCCATCGCCACTACCACCTCCAACCCACCACCACTATTATATTCAACAAACTATACAAGCAATTCTTTTATTTATATTACATTTCAATTCTTGTCAATCAAACGTGTGGTCAAAYATGATTAAATTTCATCTCAATTTATTCAAATTCCAATTTATTTCGTAGATTGCAATTCTAAYGGATTTCATTCAACGAAACAAACGTCACTTAAGGTTTGTCTATATAAAATACAAGGGACATAATTAACGAAGAAACTCACGATTTATTGAATGTTGCTTGAGGTAACTTTCAAAAAGAATAGGTTTTTAAGTAATTGTAATTTATATATTAATAAATTTAAAAAAGTAAGTTAGATTATATTTATTAAACATTCCAATATGTCAAATATAATTTATGAAAAGTAATGTTAATTAAATTAGCTAAAATTTTACAAGGGTAAGTTATGTATTTGATCCCTGTAGTTTGTGGTTTTTTACAAAACTGGTCTGTAAACATTATTTATTACGTAAATGATCTAGTAGTATGCATTTTTTCACGGATTTAGTCCCTGGACTAAACAGTTRTCCAATAGGCAACAAGTCCATTAAGTCTGAGAGTATTTCTGTCTTTTTACCRGATTCATCCATTTTAATGGTTTTTTCTCTCTCTTTCATTTGTTTGAACACTCATCTTCTTCAATCAAGAAGGTCAAGARCAATTGTAAATGGTGCTAAATTAAACCTAAATAAAAATCCTAAATCAAACCAAAACTAGAAAATGAAGAAAAGAAACCTATTCCACCAGTTTCGAAGGCCTAAAAAACGCAATTCAAAGACCTCCGTCCATGAAATTCAAGTCTTATGTTTCTTCTCCGGCGCAACCACACTCTGRCGGCCCCCTTCCCATCTCTGGTGCAAATGCCCCCGGTCCCCACCTCTATTTTCCCTCAGCTCCACCCACTTTCTTCCCCATGTTACAGTCGCCATCTAGGGTATCATTTGAGTTTTCATCAAAAAAATAGAATGTAATGATATTATACTAAATTATTGTTGATTTAGGGTTTCTTCTTCTATTTGTATAAGTTTATTCATGATGTTCTACATTCTTATTATGAAGAAGATTGATATCCAAAAAAAAAAATACAAAAATTAAACAAAAAATATTTTTCATTAACCTGGATATCCAATTACGAGCCGACTAATCCCAAGGCGACCACCTGTTTTGCTCTCAAATCTAACGGACATGGTAGACGAATGTTAGAGCAAAGGACCAAATCCGTGAAAAAAAAATGCCTAACACAATCTGTTTTATGTATAAATCAAGTCTAAAAATCAATTCTATAAAAAAATCCCATGTCATATAAACCAAATCCATAATTTACTCCTKTTACAATTAGAAGATTTGTTATCAAAGGGCTTCTTCAATAGCAACGTAATCTCAAATTAATATAGTACCACGATCATTGTTTAGAAAGTAAAAAAAAAATGTTCTAAATTGCTTAGACTAAATAATCTTACCCCACATGAGGTATAGAAATAATTGAGAATCTTACCTCATAGAMTGATAGTGAGAGAAAGAACTTTTACCCAATAAACTTACAAACAATTAATTTTGATGGCCAAAAAAGTTAACCAATATGATAAGTGAGAGTGATGACTCTTACTGATAAACAYTTACCTAATAAGCATTTGGTAAACGGTCCTTARACTTTRTTCTTTCACTTCACATTGTTTTCGTCTAGCGCAGTTCAAAGTTTAGTGCTTTGTACGACAATGACATTTTCTTGGCTAATCTTAGTGCAAAAAAAGGTTTGTAACTGACAAACCTTAGTCGACCTACACTGTCCTGTTTTAAAAATATTATGTAAGAAACGAATAAGATATCTTACGATCAAACTAGGTAAATATTTAGATTGTTGTTAGTATTTGAATACATTTTGGGCGACCTTGGACCTATTTTTATTCAACCAATTTTTAGYTCCAATATCGTATATGGGACCTGATAGGATATCGTGACAAGGTGACGTCACGTGAGACAAAATGGACAAATTTTGTCCCAAAAAACTGTGGAATTARGTGGGACAAAATTAATCATGATGAGACTATTTTTCTAAAACGTAATTTTTTTTCATAATTAAACTCTCTTTCAATTCTWTGAGGATTTTATATTATTGAATGAGTTAATAAGAACAATGCATCCAAAAATGTATTGTTGTTTTATAATGTGATTATTTTTAGTGTATTTTTTTCTTTTCCTATCATCAAACAACATTTTATTTTCATATACATTGTTTCATTAACGTGAAACAATAAATAATTAGTAGTTCTCATTTAAATATGTTTATATATATATATATATATATGTATGTATATATATATATATATGTATGTATAGAGTTTAGTTCATTTATTAACCCAAAAAAAAAGTATTAACTTTATAAACTTTTTAGACCAATCATAATCCATTTTAATATGAGGTTCAACTCTATCCAAGAAATTAATGTTAAGGGTGTGTACAATTTTTTTTATTTAACTCCTATATCATTAATTGGATGTTACATTATCATAAAATCTCATGATTTTTGCCCTTTTTAATATTGTTCTTAATTTCCCAAATTTTTGATGATTTGGTTAAGAGTTGAATAACATAAATTCATTATAATATTTATAATTTTGTGATTAGTGGCGGAGACCTGGTAGTAAAGTGAACATATATTTCCATAAGTGTACAGTGTTCATTGTCTATTAACATAAGTAAACATATTTTCCATAGGTGGACAATGTTCATTGTCTATTAACATATGAAAAGATAGAATAACTAAATGAATTTTCGTGAACATATGTGAATATCCAAGCAATGCACATGACACATTGTTCATGAGTGAACCCATGTTGATATAGAGGGGGGAGGATCTCTATGTGTATATTAATGTTAATAATGATGGAGATTTTGTTATTCATAACAAAGATTAATATACACAGGGCGGTTATAAAACATTAATATACACATGGACAGTTACAAAACATCCACATTTTTATGATTGTTTTTCCAATAATACTCTTGTTCGTATATGTTCATCTTAGATGGTAACATATTATATCATACGTTATTACAAAATTGTCATCATTAATGTCATCCGTTGATTTACAAAATGAATGGTTGCGATAAGTTAACCAAGTGTTAAATTGGGTTAACAAAAGAACCTACCCCTGTATGTTTGTTTGGGGGGGGGGGTGTATGTGTATGCAGACTCGGTATCATGTGAGACAAGACTGTTTTCGTGAGACGCGACTTTTACACTTGAAATTTTACAGCAAAACACTGTGAATGTAACATTCATAGTGTTTTTGCTCTGAAGATTCAGTTTTTTTTACCTTCACAACATTGTGTGAAGTTTCAAGTGCAAAAATCGCGTCTCACGTGTCTTACGAAAACAGCCTTGTTTCACGTGAACACAACCCTATATATGTATGCGTGTGTATACTAGAAGGGTACTCGTGAAATGTAACGAGATTTATTTTGATTTTAATTGTTTCGTTTTATTTTGTTGGTCTCTTTCGATATTATAATATAAATTTATGTGGTTTTGAGCAAACAATAATATATTTTTTTTAAATATAAATTTGAAGATATCATAAAAATTAAAAATATATAAAAGTTCTCATTTTTTGTGTAATTTTTTTAATTCATTTTTTTTATTATAATCTAATTTAGGTTTAATGACGAAGTAATTTGTTTTTGGCTTAATAGTATAATTTTTATAAAGATAATAACTAAGTTTCTGTTAGTTATCAATGATTATCCTAATTATATTTTAGATTTTTTATATTTAAAATGAGATGTTTATTCTCTATTTGATTATATTTATCTAAAGTTAGTTACATGAATTCAAATATGAAGCTTAATAAGTTGTATTTATGCACTATTACTTATAATCTTGAATTTTAAGTAATATGCATTAATA